CCGTGGCCGACGCCCGCGACCGCGACCGCCGCGCCGCCTTCGACGCGGCGCGGGCCGACGCGCGCGCCGCCGCCGCCGCCGCCGCCGCCGCCGCGGCCGCCGCCGCCGCGCCGTCGCGCGAGCCCTCGGAGCTCTTTACGCCCGAGCAGTCGACGTGGCTCGCCGACGACGACGACGCGTCCTGGGAGCCGTCGCCCCGCGACGACGCGTCGACGCCCCGCGGGTCGTCGCTCGCGACGTCCGCGTCGGCGCCGCCGACGAGCCTAGCGTCGCCGTCGTTCGACACGGCGACGACGCGGTCGACGGCCGTCGACGCGCGGCGGTTCCTGCGCCACGCAGGCCGCCGCGCCGCGGCCGCGGCGGCGCTCCTGGAGCGGGCCACGCGCGCGAAGGCCGCCGCGGCCGCGCGCGCGCTCGCGATCCGCGCGGATCGCGCCGCCGCGCGCGCATTCCTCGCGGACGCCGCGGCGCGCGCGGCCGACGGGGGCCGCGACGCCAGCACGGTCCTCACGGGCGCGAGCCCCGACGACGCGTCGCTCCTCTTCGAGGGCAGCGTCGCCGCGGAGGCGCCCGCGCCCTCGGAGCCGCCCGCGGCCGCGCCGTTCCCCGCGGGCTCGGCCTACTCGAGCTTCGCGACGGCGGACGCCGCCGACGAGGCGAGCGCGCTGTCCTACCTCGGCCGCGCGGCGGCGGACGCCCGGGACCGCGAGGACAGCGTCGCGTCCGCGGAGGGCTACCTGCGCCGCGCCGCGGGGCGGGCCGTCGCGCAGTTCGACGCGCTCGAGGCCCTCAAGCGCGACGCGGCGCGCGCCAAGTACCTCGAGGACATGCGGCGCTGCGCGGCGCTCGAGCGGCGCACCGTCGCCGACACCCGCGTCGCCATGCACGCCGAGGACGAGCTGTGCCGCCGCGTCTACGCGCGCGAGCGCCTCGACCGCGAGGCCTTCGAGCGCGCGGAAACGGCGCGGCGCCGCGCGGCGTGCGCGCGCGCGCTCGCCGCGTGCCTCGAGGACGTCGAGCGGGCCGTGCTCGCGGACCTGGACCACCTGAGCGACTACTCGCCGGGGCCCGAGGGCCACGGCGCGGCCGCGGCCGCGGCCGCGCGGTCGCTGCGGACGACGGCCGCGCGCGCGGTCGCGCAGCGGGAGCTCCGGGACGCCGCGGAAAGCAACCGCGACTACCTCCGGCGGCCGGGGGCGGCGACGCACGTCCCCGCCTACGCGACGCAGGCCTACGACCGCGGCGTCGGCGGCGGCGCGCCCTACGCGGCGCTCGACGCCGCGAACCCCGTCTTCCGCGCGCGGCGGCCGAGCGACGGCAGCGGCGACGGCGCGGGCTGGATCCGCCGCGTGCCCGCGAACCTCTTCGACAACTCGGGCTTCTCCTACGTCGACGAGTCGACGAAGTCGCCGCCGAGCAAGGAGGCGGACACGCTGAGCTTCGGCACGCTGCGGACGACGCCGTCCCAGGCGAAGCTGCTCAGGCCACGCCTGAGCGCCTACTCCGCGGCGGACTCGACGCTCGGCCGCGCGCTCGAGGACGCGGGCGTCTTCCTCCGCTACGTCGCGCACGGCGCGCGCGCGGCCGCGACGCTCGACGTCGTCGCCGCGCGCAACTACGTGCGCTACCACCAGCGGGAGCGCGCGGAGGCGCGGCGCCTCGAGCGCGAGGCCGCGTCGCGCGTCGCGTCGCCGCCGGAGCAGGGCTGGGTCCGCGTCCTCGAGGACGGCTTCTACGCGGGCCTCTTCCGCGGCGACGTCCGCTTCGCCGTCGCGGGCGTCGGCGACGGCTGGCTGCTCCAGGACCGCAAGACGAAGCTCCCGAGGCGCGACGAGGGCCTCCGCTGGCGCTGGGCCGACGACGACCGCGCCGCGGCGCTCGGCCCCGCGGCGGCGCCCGCGCGGGACCTCGCGGAGCCGTCCGTGGACCGGTCCGAGGGCGGGAGCTCCATCCTGACGCGGAGCGCGCTCGACGAGTTGTCCTACTCCTACTCGCACGACGGGTCGCGCGCGGACCTCGCGGGGTCCTTCGCGATGACGAGCTTCATGACCGGCGCGGCGACGCACCTCTCCGAGTACACGTCCGACTCCGGCGACCACGGCCGCGACGTCGAGTCCGCGCGGTCCTTCCTCATGCGCCAGGGCCGCGACGCGGCCCTGGAGCTCGGCGACGTCCGCGCCGCGCGCGAGTACCTCCAGCGCGAGCGGCGCGACAAGGCGCGCGCGCGCGAGGACCGCGAGGCGCGCGAGGCGGCCGCGGCGCGCGAGGAGCGCGAACGGTTCCTCATGTTCCTCGAGGACGTGCGCCCGGACCCGTCGCTCGCGTCCGACAGCGCCGTGGAGACCGCGGCGTCCCTCGCGTCGACGGAGGCGCGGGCGCTCCACGTCCGCGTCGTCTTCTTCCCCGCGTACGGGCTCCGCGTCGGCGAGAAGAAGCGCGTCGTCGCGGCGTTCCCCGACTGCCTGCTCCTCGAGGACGACGTCGTCGTGCCCCTCGCGGACGAGACGAGCCGCTGGGAGTACTGCTCCGAGGTCGCGTCCCTGGGCCACCTCAGCGACTTCTCCCCCGAGCCGTCCGCGCACCGGCGGTCGCGCGAGGAGCGCGCGAAGACCTACCTGCGCCACCGCGCGCGCCAGGCCGTCGCGGGCCGCGAGATCCGGGCCATCGCCGACGGGGCCATGGCGACGCACGCCGAGGCCTACGACGCGGCCCGGGAGCTGCAGCGCGAGGAGGATCGCCTCGTCTGGTGGATCCGCGTCCTCGACTCGGCCGCGTACGACGGCCTCCGGCGGGGCGACCTGCGCATGGTCGTCGCCATCGAGGGGCCGACGCTCGTGCTCAACGACGAGACGCGCGTCGGCGTCGACGACGAGGACCGGCACTGGGAGCCCTGCGACGACCGGCGGCGCCTGCGGCCGCCGCCGTCGGAGCCCGAGGACCTCTTCGCCAAGTCGGGCGGCTCCGGCGGCTCCGTGGGCTCGCAGACGCTCAACACGCTGCCGACGCTCTTCGAGGACGCGAGCTTCGAGGACGAGGCGCGGACGCTCGTGACGGCGCCCTACGACCCCTTCGGGAGCGTCGAGCTCGGCGCGCTGGAGACCGCGAGCGGCGCGTCCTTCGGCGCGTCCGTCGACCTCGCCGGGTCGCTCGCGAGCGCGCGGGGGTCCGCGCTCGCGTTCCTGCGCCACGTCGCGCGGCGCGCCGCCGCGGGCGACTCGCTCGAGGCGGGCGCGCGCGCGGCATCGGACTTTTTGGAGCGCTACGGCGCCGGGGCCTACGCGGCGCTCGACGAGACGGCGAGCTTCGCGGTCCGCGACGCGTTGGGCGCCGCGGCGGACGCCGTCGCCGTCGACGCGGCGACGTGGGCCGCGGCGGCGCGGTCCGAGGGCGCCGAGGGCGCCGCGGAGGCGAGCCGGTCGCGGCGGCGGAGCCTGGCCCGCGACGACGACGACGTCGCGTGGCGGCCGCTCGACGCGCGGAGCGGCGACTCGGACGCGTCCGCCGAGGACGCGCTCTGGCGCATCACGATCCTGCCCGCGGGCGCCGACGCCTACGGCCTCGACGTCGGGCGCGTCTTCCTCGTTGTGGGCCTCCGGGGCCACGACTGGGTGCTCGACGCGTCCGCGGCGACGCACCGGCGCGCGACGGGCGAATTCCGGGCCTACGACGTCCTCGTGCCCGTCGCGGACGAGAACTTCGAGTGGGAGTGGACGGACCCCTACCGGCGCCGCGCGAGCGGCGGCCGGGCCATGGCGCCGGGCGACGACGAGCGGCTCACGGCCGAGGAGGCCGTGGTCCTCTCCGCGGAGCGGCTCCACGCGCAGCGGTGCCGCGACGGCTACTTCGACGGGCCGCGGTCCATCATCCGCGTGCCTCCGGCGGGCCAGGCCGCCGTCGCCGTCGTGCCCGCGGCGGACGCGGCGGACGCGGCCAAGCTCAAGCCCGGCGACGTCGCGGAGTTCGTGCGCCTCCAGCTCCGGCGCTACAACGGGCTGCGGTGCACCGTCGCCGAGGTCTACGGCGGGCGGGCCCTCGTGACCATCGCGGGCGACGCGGAGCAGGGCGGCGGCGACGCCATCGACGTGTCGCTGAGGAACCTGCGGCGCATCGGCCCCGACCGCGGCGCGCGGCCGTCGCCGTCGGACTGGCGGCCGCTCGCGCCGATCCGCGGCTGGAAGAAGGCCAAGGCCGAACCGGCGGCGCCCGCGCCCGCGCCGGCGGCCCCGGCCGCGGAGACGCCGCCCGTCTCGGAGCAGGTCTCGGAGAGCACGGGGCCCACCTACGTCTACTATCCCCTGGAGTGGCAGTTCCGGTCCATCGGCGATTCCCTCGAGACGCCGTCGGAGGACGACCTGCGCTCCGAGGATTTGATGCGCCAGAGCCTCGACTCCAGGTCCCTCGAGGAGCCGCTCTTCGCCGCGGGGTCCGTCGCGGACCGGAGCCTCGCGCCCATCGCGGAGGACGAGGCCGCGCCGCGGCTCGCGGAGGGGTCGCTGCTCAGCGCGCCGTCGCTCCAGTCCGACTCCTACAGCGCGTCCCTCGGGTCCCACGCGCTCGAGGCGCGGTCCGCGTTCCGCTTCCTCCGGCGGCTCGCGGAGCGCGCGACGCGCGGCGACGACATCTGGGCGGGCGCGCTGCGCCTCGAGGGGCTCGACGACGCGTCCTTCGCGACGCCCGAGGCGATGACGCCGGAGCCGTCGATCACGCCCGAGCCGTCGGTCACGCCGGAGCCGTCGATCACGCCGGAGCCGTCGAGCTCGGAGCCGACGGTCCTGGAGGCTCCGAGCGCGCGGTCCGCGCGCGTCGACGCGCAGGCGTCGCTCGAGCGCCGGGCCAGGGCGGGCGCCGCGGCCGTCGCGCGCCTCGACGCGCAGGCGTCGCTCGAGCGCCGCGCGAGGGAGGCGAACGCGAAGATGTTCGGGACGCACTACTGGCGCCTCGAGATCACGCACCCGGTCTACGGCCGCGACCCGGGCGACGTCTTCGTCGTGCTCGGCGACCGGGGGAAGCGCTGGCTCTGCGACGACCGGCTCTTTGTGAAAAAGGCCGACGAGGACTACTTCTGGCGCTGGTGCGAGCCCACGCGGCGCAAGGGCTACGCGCCGCCGGAGCCGTCGACGGACGAGGACGATCTCTACGTGCGGCCGAAATCCGTGAACACGGACACGACGGAGGAGGAGGCGCCGCTCTTCGACGGCGGCTCGCTGTCGAGCGAGGTCACGGCCGTCAAGGCGACGCTCTCCGTGGAGGAGTCGCTCGAGGCGTCGACGCCGTCGACGTCGGTCATGGAGACGTCCGCGTCCCACTCCGGCCCGCCGACGCACATCTCCGACTACTCGTCGAAGGCCGAGTCCGCGGCGTCCGAGCGCCGCCGCGCGCTCGTCTACCTCGGCCGCCAGGCGCGGCGCGCCGCCGCGGGCGCGAAGCTCCAGATCACGGGCGACGGCTCCGTCGTCTCCGAGGCGTTCTCCGCGCCGACGCACCTCAGCGGCGACAGCGCCTACGAAAGCGTGGAAGACGACGCGGCCGACGAGGCCGCGCGCGCCGCGAACTTCCTCCGGCACCAGGGGAAGCGGGCGGCGCTGCTCTTCCAGCTCAAGCGGATGGCCATGGACGCGCAGGGGTCCCAGGCCAACAAGCTCGCCATCGCGCGGCAGCGCGAACTGGCGTCGGGCTTCGGCGGCGACGTCGCGCGGTCCGAGGCCAAGGTGCTCAAGGAGCTCAAGACGCGGAGCGCGCGGGAGGTCGCGGCGCTCGACGCGCGCGGGAGCGCCGAGTGCAACCACACGACGGTGATCCGGGAGGAGGCCGAGGCGTTCACGCGCCTCGGCTTCAAGGACCGGAAGCGCGACGACTACGTCGCGGCGGCGGTCGTGCGGGGCCCCGCCGTGGACCACGGCGGCTTCCGCGCGAAGCTCGCCGTGCCCGTGCAGCAGTGGGACCTGCGGTACCGGGGGGGCAAGGTCACGACGCTCGGCGCGGACGACGGCGTCGACGAGGACCCGTCCGTGCCCCTGACGGACCCGTCCTTCGAGACGAACGTGGACTGGGAGTCGACGGTCGAGTGGTCGACGGAGCCGTCCGCGGCGAGGAGCGACCGGGCCTTCGCGGCGGAGCAGCTCCGCGTCGACGCGGACCGCGCGTTCGCGGCGACCCAGCTGCGGATCGAGGCCTTCCGGGCGAGCGAGTACGACGTCACGGGCCTCGCGGAGAAGGACCGGCTCGCGGTGCTCGCGAAGCGCTTCGGTGAGAAGAGCCGGCTCACGCGGCCGCTCCGCGACGCGCTCCGCGAGCAGGAGCGGTCCGTCGCGCGGACGTCGCTCGACACGTTCTCCGCGCTGTCCGCG